TTATTTGCAAGAAAAGGAAATACAAAAGCAGAGCAATTTCAATTTATTAATTTTTTTCCCAAACTAAGTATAAGAATCCTACAAAGCATTTCTTTTTGGTATTCGCTCAGCTGTGATACAGAATAGAGACACACAGACCCAGTGAAGAGTCGGGACGGAGCCACCCAGGGCCTGTTCCACAGAGGGGACCCCCATGTGCAGCCAGGATGAGGGACCTTGGAGGTCAAGGTCTGCCCTGCTCAGTGTGCTTACAGGGTGCTGGCTATCATGGTGCTGGCGGCTTGGGTGGACCCTAAGACATCTTGTGGGACAGCGAGTGTCCACATACCCTGAGTCCCCAGAGTAGGATCGTCCTGCCCTCCGCTGGCCGCTGTGTGGAGTGTGGGACTGAACGCAGGCAGCCAGCTCAAGCCAGCATCCTTCTTCCAAGACAAGGGATCCATCAGCTGGGGTCAGAGAGGAATGACGAAGAGGGGGGTGCCCATCCTGGGCAGCTCCAGGGAGGCAGGGCAGTGCCCAGCTGGCTAGCCTGGGCGGACAGGCATCTCCCGGCCAAGGGCCTGGTGGGTTCATGGTGTCACTGAAGGGACCTGTCCACGTCCCAGCTCCGGTCCCAGGACGGCCATGTGGGCACAGCTGCCTGCCTGCTCTGAGGTTAACAGGACAAAGCCGAGCACCCCCACTGCTCACCCTGTCCCAGGTACACAGCCCGCTACCCCGGGTGTGAGCAGGCCGGCTGTGGACGTCAGAGGCCAGCACTCCCTCTGTCCCAGGGCGGCCTGACATGAGTGCAGCTGCTGCCAAGTCCAGGCCGGCATCCACTGGCTGGAGGGATGGGCCAGACACCACCTGGCCTGAGTGCGTCCTCAACTGGGAGGGGACCCAGTGCCAGTCAGAGCGACCACTCCCTGCCCCTGGTGTGCTAAGCCTGGTGGCTCTGTTCTGGGAGCCCACTCCCGAGCCCCGGTGGGGACTGGGACCATGTCAGTCTAAGGTCGTGAGGCTGTGTGCGTGCAGTTCCCGGGATGCTGGCCACCTGACACATACAGAAGGCACTTTAAGGCACAAATGGTTTTCCTGAAGGGGGGGAAGAAAAGAGAAGGAGGGTGAGAGAGAGTTTGAGTGTGCATGCACGCACATACAAAAACACACAGAAAGAGAGAGAGAGAGAGAGAGAGAGAGAGAGAGAGATTTAGAGAGAAATAAGGAGGTGGGTAGAGGAGAGAAATTGCCTGCCAGTTAATAGATTGATTCTATGTCCTCAAACACACAAGCTGTCAATTCCAACCTGTCTGTGTTCCTAACCCATCTGGAAATGGGTTATCTGTGTTAACGAGTCAAGAGTAATGCAGGGTGAGTTACTCTCCAGTGAGATCGAGCAGAGATTAAATAAGGGACAGCACAGAGTTGGGGAACAGAGGCCATGCACAGGATGTTGCTGATGAGGCCAAAAGAACGCCCCCACCCCCAGCAGGAGCCCCCAAATCCAGATGACCAAGCTTCCAAACTGTGAGAGAATCAAGCCATCCACCCATGGTAACTCAGTACCGAGAAACGGCCTGCGCGTGTTGTACAAGGGTCCCAGCCTTGTCTGCCCCTATACGCCTTCTGGCCTTGTCCTCAGAAGACTGGCCCGGCCTGGGAGTGTCTGAGCAGCTGGATGGATACATGGAAGAGTGGATCTGAGACACAGGTTGGCTCCTGGCAGTCCCCCCACCCCAGCATCTCCTTTGGGGGGCTAGTGTTCCACCTGGGGAGAAGTCAGGGCCACAGCTCACTGGCACTCAAGTCAAACTAGAGGCCCAGACTCGAGAAGAGCCAACACAGCTTCCGAAAGGGTTTGGAAATGACAAGCCGCCTGCATCAGCTGAAGATCAGACTCACAGCCAAGTCAGACCAACTCATCGCGGACCCTCCAACAGGTTTTCAAAGGCTGTAAATCAGAGGAGGAGACTGCCCATCCTCCTCCCAGGGCCAACTGGTGGCTGTGAACTGCAGATAGGTGCCGCCTTTGGCAAATCTCTAAGGAAGGCCTAGGCCACCAGAGCTCCCACATCTAGAGATTTTCTCCAAATCAAAGGCCTCTGTATTGACTTGAACCAGTCACCTAAGATTCCCAGCTGGCATCAAGTCTCAGCATGCCCTGCCTGGAGGAGGAGTGAGCACAGCGAGAGCCCCAGTCACAGCCAGTCTTGGACAGTCACAGCCAGTCTTGGACAGCCACGGCCAGTCAAGGACAGTCACGGACACCTTCCCTCTAACAGCTTCCATTTCTGAGCTCACTGACCTCTGAGACCTGCGGGTGCTCAGCTCACCTCCCGAAAACCTCTGCTTCTCTGGGAATTTCTCCAGTTACCACCTTAAGGAGCAGAATCACGGAAAGGGGCAGGGAAACTTTGATGTGATGAAATAATGTGAAATCTCCTTTATTCCCCGGGGTCTTCGGATGGTGCAGTTACTTGGCTGATCTGAAGCCTGGAGGTTCAAGTCACCCAGAGGTGCCTCAGAAGAAAGGCCTGGCAACCGAGTGCTAATCCTGCCTCCGGAAACCTCCCAGAGCACAGGCCTACTGACACTCACGGCTGGCTGTGGTCGGAACTGACTCAATGACCAGGATTTTGGGGGACATTCCTAGGCCACACTCACTGATCCATACCTGATATTTACATAAAGATGTAAAGAGAGGGACTGGACAGCAGTGACCTATGGTCACCTACACCACCCAGGCCGTGAAGGAGACACAGCGGCAGGAACCTGCCAGCAAGCCCTCTTCTCTCCACTCAGCCTGGCCAACGTCCAGGACACTGGCAGCCAGTGGACACAGGCCACCAAGAGAAGCCTAGTCTGGCCTCTACAGGCTGACTGGGTTGAGTGTCCCCTACCTGGCCTGAATGTCCCCTCATGGGGGAAGGGGACCCACTGCCATGAGCTCCAGTTGCACCTGGACAGAGCTGGGATCCGCTTAGCGGGGAGGCGTGGACCAAATCCAGTTACCATCATGGACAGACGCAGAGTATGGGGTTAATCCTCCCTCGGGCCCCAGTGATAGATAATGCAGGCCACAGAGAGGGGGAGAGAGAGGGACAGAGGGAGGACGTGAGAGGTGGAGAGAGAAAGAGGGATGAGGGCAGTAAAGACAGAGAGAGGACAGAGGAGGGGGTGGTCAGAGAGAGGACGGGGAGGGGGTGGAGAAAGGGAGGAAAAGGCAGCAGAGAAAGGACCTGCAGACCCTTCACCTGTGTCCTGCTGTGGTCAGCTGCTGCCGAGCCAGTCCCGATATACAGTGACCCCAGGTACAACAGACTGACCCCTGCCCAGTCCCTTCCACCCTCACAGCCTGTGCTGTGTCTGCAGCCGTGTCAAGCCATCTCCTCGAGGGTCCTCCTCTCCTCCGCTGACCTTCTGCTTTGGAAGCACCGTGTCCTTCTCCAGAGACCAGCCATTCCCGATAACGTGTCCACAGTATGTGAGACCGAGTCCTGCCATTCTCGCTTCCAAGGAGCATTCATCCTGACGGGACTTCAACTGCTACCAGTTACAAAATACAGAGCAGCGGTGGGTTTCCTACAACGCCCCTCTTGAGCTCGGGGAAACCCTTGAGACAGGCCATGCGCGCTATAAGAAGGTCTCATTTCTTGTTTGTTTGAAAGAGAAAAACTGTTTTAAAAAATCTACAAAAGTTACTTTCAATCAGTAAAAAAGGCAGTTGAAGCAGGTGGATGGGTTAAGCTGTATCTTTGGGTGAGCTGTGAAGCAGCAGACCTGATTATAAAGGTGGGAATGTGGGGACAGGTCACCTGCGCCAGCCCTAGGTCTTACTGCCCACTGTCAGGGAGAGAGGCCACACTGGGGGTTAGGGCGGGAGGCGAGGGGACAAGCTGGCAAGGTGGACCTCAGGGCTCTGGTCAGGACCCCTCCCTGGACAGCAGAGAGCAGAACTGGCCCAAGAGGCCAGGACTGGGCCCTGCTCACCTTGCCCTTCTCTACGAGGGGCTCTGTAAGGGCTGTCCGCCTGCAGGACTGTCCAACCTCGAGAAAAAGGAAGAGGTACAGTGTGCAGGATGGAGCGCAGGGCCTGGGGTGACCGGGCCATGCAGTCCTGAGGGTGACAGGGCATCACTGTCAGCGTGGGGACATGAGTCAGCGTGGGATGTCGTCCTCTGCATGGACATCAATGTCACCGTGGACATGACCATTAGCATGGGCATGACCACCAGGGTGGATGTGACCATAAGTCTGGGGAGTGACTGTCCACGTGGACATCACTGTCAGTGTGGGCATCACTGTGGACATGACCATCAGAGGGGGCATGTCCATCAGCACAGAAACGTGACTGTCAGCAGGGACACCACCGTCAGTGTGGAGTTGGCGGGCAGCCAAAAAGCTAATAAATACTATTTACAAACGGGAGAAGCTGGGGGCACGGGGGTGGGCTCTTGGAGAAGGGCAGGTCTGCTGGGAGAAGGGTCTATGTCCGCAGGCATTGCGTGTGAGGCCTCAGATGCCGGCCACCTGCTGCCCGGTGTGAGGCACAGCACTGCAGTGGGTCCAGGGCAGGGGTGGAGACAGCGGTCAGGAGGGCACTGCAGGGGAGCTGTGGCAGGGAGAGGGACAGTGGTCAGCGCCCCATCCTGAGGGCACACAGTCTGTATGGGATCTGCAGCCTCAATGAACCACAGTCCCCTCTTCTTCCCGCAGGCGAGGACCGGGCAGCGTCCTGTCTTTGGCATGACAGTGGGAGCAAGCCCGCCCACATCCACCCTCGGATGACTTCCTGCGGCAACGTAAGGTGAGGGATGGGCAGGGTGGTGGCTCCTGGCCGAGGGGGCAGGACCTGGCCCTGGGCAGGATGCCCGCACTGCCCGAGGAGATCCAGCCCCTCCTGTCCACAGCCTCGCGTCCATCTCAACCTTCGCCACATTCGGACAGCAGGAAGGGAAAAGCTAACAACAGAGGTGTCTGGTGATGAGGGTGTGGAGCTGAGAGGAGAGGCGGCCTCTTCAGAAGGTGGCATTCACTGTCCGGTCCAGCTGGACCTTCAGGGTGTCGTTGCCCTCCAGTTTGGAGCTGACCCTGTGGAGGTGGAGAGAGAGGGGAAGGTCACCTATTGGTGACCCGCACTGTGACACTCTTCCTCTGTGGCCACTGTGTGCGCTGCCCGCTGTGTCCCTTGTCCCTGTCCCTCCTGGCAGCAATTCTCCGTCCCCTGTGTCCCCTGTCCTGCATTTCCTCACCCACATTCTGAACTGGACCCCACCCAAAGGCACCTAAAACGGAATACTAACCAGGGCACTGGAAATAGGTTTGGTCCAAGGTGCTGTGAACCGGGCACACAGGGCCTGTGCCGGACCCCAGGAGGAGGGTCAGCAGAGGGACAGGGTCTGACCTCTGCCCCAGGACAGCCACCAATGCACACAAACAAGGAATTAACTTGACATTAGAATAAACTTGAGAATCATCAGCCAGGCCTCAGGTGGGCCGGGCCCATGCACCCAGCGGGGACACGCAGTAACACCGATGCACGACCAGCAGGGCATGAACTCAGAGCCCTGCCCTGTTCCAGCAGGAGCCCTGGTGGTCAAGTCCATAGAGAGCCGCCTGCTGACCCAAAGGCCGTGCGGTCCTGGCAGTTCGAATCCACCAGACGCTCTGAGAGACGACTCTCAGTCCCGGAAACCCGCCGGTGGGCCTGGTGAGCGGCAGACTTGAGGGCAGAGATGAGCAATGCTGTTCCGTCGCATGTCGTGGCCAGCTGCTGTCTGGTCAGTTCCAGGTCACTTGCTGTGGGCTTGCTGCCCATGAACACAGGGAACTGACCCGCAGGGTCTCTGAGGACACAGGTCACCAGGTCTTCCTTCTGAGGCACCTGGGGGGTGTGGACTGCTGACCCTTTCACGGGCAGATGGGCACCGGCCAGGGCCTCAGTGACACGTAACGTGGACTCCTCAGCTACAAGTCTGCCTCCTGCTCCAGTGTGACCACCCACAGCCCTCTCGGTACCCAGGGGACAGCAGGGTCACTCACAGGTGCTGCTGGAGCTGCAGGAACATGGCCTTGTCCAGGCTGGTCTCATTCGACAAGACGAATGGTGGAAGGTTCATGTCTGGACTGGACTCCAGCCCCGAGGCCCGGAACAAGGAGGAGCCCCTGTCCCAGGGCCCCAGCTCCCCCGGCGAGGCTGCACTGGGCGGGTCCTCTAGGGGAGAGTGCTCCTCGTAGATCAGAAGGTTCCTGGACCTCACTGGGGACAGAGGAGGGACACTGTGACCCAAGGTGAGCCATGTCCCTCACCAATGTCCAGACACAGGGGATAGAGGAGGGACACAGTGATCACGGCGAGCCATGCCCCTCACCAATGTCCAGACACGGGACAAAGAGGGACACTGTGACCCAGAGTGATCGATGTCCCTCATTAAAGTCCAGACACAGGGGACTGAACAGGGACACTGTAACCCAAGGAAAGTCATGCCTCTCACCAATGTTCAGACACGGGACTGAGCAGGGACACTGACCCAGGGCAAGCTATGCCCCTCATCAATGTCCAAACACAGGACAGAGAAGGGACACCGTGACCCACAGTACACCTCACCTCTCACCAACGTCCAATACAGGCGACAGAGAAGGGACACGGTGACCCGAGGTGAGCCATGCCCCTCACCAATGTCCAGACATGGGACAGAAGCCCCACAGGGGTCACTGTGACCCCAAATGAGGGTGTCAACTATGCCAGGCTTTCCTTAAAGACCTCAGCATCTCAGTGTCTGTTCAAAACACGCGCTGAGCACACAGCACCGGGAGAGGAACAGGAAGACGCCACGCTGACCACTTCCTGACTGCAGTGAGCGCACCTCTTCCCGGGCACCTCCCTCCTGGAAGGAGCCCTCCCACAGGTCACCTCTCAGCCAAATAGCAGACAAACCTGCACACAAGCAAGCAGCGACACCCGCGAGCAAGGTGCCGCTCAGACCACCTAGCCTGAGACCACAGTCAGACGCCTGGAGGTGAGCCGTCAGGTCCGAGTGGAGGTACTCTCACCTCAGGACAGGCTTTTCAATACATGGAAGTGGAAATGGTGAGGAACTGGCCAAAAAGCCACTTCAGACGGCAGGGCAGAGCAGGGAAGGACGAATGGAAACAGGAGTCCCAAGGGGGAAGTGGGAAGAGTGTATCTCCTCCTTGACACCTGGCCCAGGTGAGAGCTCTCCTACCTGACACCTGAATCTCTAGATGCTTGAAATCTCAGGAGCAACACTTCTGAAGACAGATTACTCTTCATTTGGATTTTAGACTCCTCACTCTGGAAACCCACAATCCCAAGTGTCAGTGGAAGCACAGAGTTCTTACAATACCTGGGAAAGTCTGATGCCCCATGTCTACCCGAGTCCATGCCCTTCCCCACATCAGAGCTCTCGGGACAGTGGTCAGAGCAGTCAAGGACAGAGTCCACAGCAGCTGTTTGCAAACTGTTCCTTGGAGTTCTAGACTACTCTAAGGTAGCTCCCCCCAGTAAGTGGGGGCACCAACTCAGGGATGCCAGCAGCCTGGTACCAAGCCCCCACCCCTACACATCCCCTTCGCAGAGTTCCCATTCAGAAAGCCGCAAGGCCGCTCACCAACAGAGGCTGTGTACTGCTCCGATGCAGAGGCCTCGCTGGGCAGGGCCATCTTGGTGGCAGAAGGGTAGGGTCCAGAGCCCTGGAAAATGCTGCCGAATGCCACGGCAAAGCAGAGCGCTACGACCTGGATGAGAGAGGGGATGCGTGAGGAGGGCTGGCAACCCCCGCCCCCAACACAGCCTCTAGCTCCAGCCCCCGTGCAGCCCACAGCCCCCACACCTCCCCACTATCCCCCACAGCCCCTGCCCACTCAGGCCAGTGCGCTGCATCCACACAGTGCCTGGCACGACTGTGGCAGATGCCAGCTTCAGAGCTGGTCTGGGCTCTGCTATCCCGCCAGGGCGCTGAGACTCAGCAGGCTGGTTCTGGGGTGGTGACACTCGTGCTGGCCTGGGAAACTCACCATGAGGCATGTACTGGTCTGTGTGCCGGCGAGCTTGCAGGTCCTGGAAACCTTGCCCATGACCAAGGTCTGGAGCTTCTGCAGCTGCTGAAGAAGGGTCCTGCAGACACAACAGAGGGAACCACAGTGAGGGCTCTGGCAGCACAGATGGTAAGGGGAAGTTTGCTGGTTCAAATTCACCCACTGGCATGAAACAGGAACTGGTGCAGAAAAAGAGGAGCAGGTCTAGTGGGTACCAGGAGTGGTCAGAGGGCTGAGCGTCCGGATGGGGGGCCCAGAGGCTGTCCAGTGGGGGGTGGGTGGAAGGTGCTACTTGGTGGTGAAAACTGCCTCGAAACCCAGTCCACTGCCTCAAATCTGTTCTGATGCCTGGTGCTCCTGCATCATGGTCCTGTGGCTGTAAACCTCAGCAGAAGACGACTGCCCACCTCTCTCTGGAGGAGCAGCTGGTGGACTTGAATCACTGAATGAGCAGCCTAGCACTTGACCTGCTATCCCACGCCCTGGAAGCTCCTGTCCTGAGAGCACCACAGGTGCACACGGTCCTGATTTCTAGGCGTCCACTCCTCCTGCCAGGTGCATGGACACAGGCTCTAACACGGTGTTAGACGGATGTAGGGGTGAACGTGGCAGGGACTCCCTGACCTGTCTGCTCCTGCTGCTCCTCTCTGGGCTGGTAAAGGGGGACTGCAGTGATGCTGTGAGGGGGACCACATCCCCTGAACCCCACAGACCCGCTTCACCCAGGAATGCTGGGGAAAGGCCCTCGGGAAGTGAGTCTGCTCACGCGTCCCCATAGTCTAAACAGACCCGTGAGCTGACAGCATTGGCAACCCTGAAGTGCATACAGGACGCACAGACACTCAGGACCACTGGTCGAGCTCCACCACAGAGATGGAGAGAATTCACGTCCCCACATCACACGGCTACAAAGCAGAAGGTAAAGACGTCGCCCCAAACCCACTCAAGTCAAGTGCATCTACAGTCCTCTCACGGGAGGAGCAGAGAGTGAAGACTCAAGGCCGAGTCCAGAGGGCTAACGGACCACGTGACCTTCAGTCCGCACAACCTTGAGACCAGAACTAGATGGTGCCCCGCTCCCACTGCTGACTGAAACGTGACAGAGATCAGTCTTCCGGGTCAGACAGACTGGTGGGCCTGTGAGACCATGACCCTTATATACGCCTCACGCCTAGAACTGAAATCACGCCCATACCTCACTTTAAGCCAAACAACAAGACAGTCCAGCAAGGGAGGAACACGCTCCTAAAAACCACCAACCACACAAGACCGAAGGGCAGTGTCCGCCCAGGGAGAAGCTCAGAGGGAAAGATGGGGCAGGAACCAGCAGCCAACAAACAGCAAACGCAGTGGGCACAGCTGTTACACTGTGGAGATTACAATCAAATGTCACCAACAAAAGGGGTGGAGACTGTGGAGCAGAAAACCATTTCACCCTGAAGACTTCCATGCAAGTCAATAAAAAGCTAACAAACACCACTCTGCTGCCTTCGCGGGTCCGGGGACTCTCCCCCTCCCCTCTGTAGAGGTCTCACCCTCGGTGTTTAGTACACACAGCGGTGAGTGGGGAGCACCCTCTACAGATTCACACGAGGGTCGAAGAGGGGCATTATGGGCGTCTCCCTGGGATGACAGCAAGGAGATGCACAGGAGTGGTACATCTCCACGCGGTCCCACACCACACCCTCCAGGCCCCTTTCCTCCCCCATTCCCAGGCCAACTGCCCATCAGGTGCCCAGCACCTGTGCCCGCTGGCGCCCTCTCAAGCCAGGTGTGGCTTCAGAATCCTCTCACCGCTTGGTGCACACAGCTCCCGGCCCAGCCTGCTCCACCACCTGGACCAGGTCTCAGCTGGCTGGTGAAGCTGATCACCTGGACAGAGAGGTGTGTACCCTCCATGCACAGAGCAGAACAATTCCTGCCACTAGGCTGGTGGTGGTTTTTACGGACTGTCAAGTGGACCCTAAGACCAACAGAAGTGAACCCTGTCCCACCCTGTACCATCTGGACGACTTCTCAGTGCTGTTCCAAGGACTGTCCCCCCACCTCAAACGACGTCCAAGCAGGCTCGACGCCTTGGGAAAGGCCCCTCAGTCAGTAAACAGGACGGAAGAGCATCGATGTGGACGCTTAGGACAGACACAAGACAAACAGGCACTTCCAAGCTCAGGATCCCACATCCTCACAGACTGTGTTTTATAACTAACGACACATTGAGACAGCAGTGACAGTTATTTAAACAGAGAGCAGCATCTGACAGGACGTGGAGCCGGGGTGCCTGCTGCCAGCCAGTGTCCCCGAGATGACCGCCACTATCAAACCCTGACTGTGACCGGCTTCCTGACACGAAAGCACATCCAGGATGTTCTGTTAAGTGAGATACCCCTCAACAAGAGTAATTGTTGTTGTTGTTGTTGTTGTGTGTTGTCAAGTTGGAACTGACCCATAGCTGACCGTCCAGTGAGTTTTCACAGGCGGTAAATCTCACAGGAGGAGTCTGCCCATCTTTCTCCCACAGAGCAGCTGGTGGATTCGAACCATGGTCCTCTGCCGGGCAGTGCAGCTTTTTAGCACTAAGCCACAACGCACATGATAAAGTTTACAAAACCAGACCAGAGGCTGTCATGCTGACGGGCTCACAAGCCCCCCGTGTGCAGGGGCCAAACTGTGCTCACAGGGCTTCACTAACAGATTTTCAGAACATCACCAGGCCTTTCTTCCGAAGGAACCTCTCCAACTTTTCAGCTTTTCAACAGACACTATCTGTGTCACGAGGGACTCCACAGACAATATTCCAAACCGGAAAGACACTTCCCAGTGAAAGGACTCGGACTTTTTCTCCCCTCCTTCTTGAGCTCTACTTCCCGATTTCTATTCACAAAGAGCTTCTACAACTTGGGTGGTTTTTGGGATTAACACTGGGCTGCAGGGAAGCTGGCCTCTCACAGGAGCAGTGCTGACCCCACTGTCCACAGCACAGCTGTGCCTCTGCTGCCCCCGTGTGGCAGAGCGGAGGCCTCACAGCAGAGCCGGAAGACACATCCCTCTCTCCCCCCTCTCCCCAAAGGCTGTCTCCCCATCCTGCTTATGGCTGGGCCTGCCCACTCGGGAGCGTGGGGACCCCCCACAGAAGACCCCTAGGCTGGTGCAGCCAGAAGGATGGAGGCCTCGGAAGATGAAGGGTCAGAGGCGGGCAGTGAAGCCAGGAGTCTGGGATGTCCTTGAACACGGCCTGGACTTCCATCCTGTCCATCTGTCCTACCACAAAGGCCTGTCCACGACTCGGATGCTGGGGTCTTTGCCACCAGTGTTCCAAGTCCCAGCAGAGTCACCACTGGACAGGTTTCAGTGGGGAATCCAAGTAAAACACTAGGAAGAAAGGCCTGGTGATCTACTTCCAAAACCTTAACCAGTGAGAAGCCCAATGGAACAGAAGAGACCACTGTGCTATGTACATGCTGGGCCAGGAGACTCTCCAGCGGGCAGGGTCAGACTCTGGACGCAGACGTGATGGAGAGTGTAGGACCAGGCAGGCCGCTCTGCTGTCCAGCCTCTAACAACCAGCAGACATGACCTCAGGGCTGTGCCGACCACGTCCCCTTGTCCCCTTGGGAGTCTGTCCACGCAGCACAGCCAGCTCGGGGGGGGGGGGGGCACACCCTCCCACGATGGCGGAGGACAGCTGGGGGCTCAAGGCTTTGTTCCCACTTAGATCAGCTGCCTGAACAAACCACGGAGATGTACCAACAGAGAGTTCTCAGCAGACAGTGATCCCTCGACATTTGCAAAATCCTGATTTGCCTCTGATCTGAGGTCTGAAAGAGAACTATTTCCTCTGCTGGCTGCCCGGACCTGCACCTGTGAGCACAGCACGCACAGGTGCGCACATCAACACATGGCTCCGTCTGTGGGTTCTCAGAGGCTGAGCCTGAGGCCTGAACCAACCCGCCACCTGCACTTGTCCAGGCAGAACCTAGTGATGGGCTCCTATGCTGGGCTCTAGGGTCAGGGGACGGGCTGACACCCAGTGCTGGCGTTTGCTGTGGCCTTCTGGAGCCCCTGGGCACCCCTGGTCTCTGTAAGGGGCAGGAAGGGTGAGGTCCCAGGGAAACTGAAATGTGTGAGCCCATCTCTACAGAGGGCTGATGGTGTGGGGGGCCACCCTTCCCACAGCTGCTTCCCATGAGAGATGTGCAATCAGACACAATTTACCTCTTTTTCCTTCTTGTTGTTGAATGTCATCAGAATCGACCCACAACTGACCCTCTAGTGAGTTCTACAGCGGCCGTAAATCACACAGGAGGGCTGCCCATCTCCCTCGGAACCGCTGGTGGATTCACTCTCGGCCTTTGTGTTGGCAATGGAGTTTCTTACCACTAAGCCACCAGAGAGTCTGTTTTTCCTTAATAAATGTGTGTGCACACGTCTGCACATAACAGTCTGTGTACACACGGATGTACTCGTGTGACCCTGTGCACATGTAGCTGGGGAGCGGGGTGGGTGGTGCTGTCCTGACCACCAGGCATCACAGCAGCCCCATGGGGTCTTCCCACTCCCCTCCACCTGTAGTCCTAACACAGGCCCCCCCTTCCACAGACACCTTACACTCCAGCCACGCTCACCTATTGGTGTTCTCCAGAACCTCCACCTTCTTCCGAAGCTCCACGTTCTCAGTTGAACAAGACTCCACTCTGGAAAGGAGTGAGAAAGAAAGTTAGCTGCCCTCACAGAGCACATCTGGCCAGGTGTGGGGCTGGAGGGATGGGGACCAAGAAAGAAGAGGGGTCCATCTCGGAAGGGGGGAAAGAGCTGGCCCAACTCGAAGCGGATGAAGGGCGAGGAGACCAAAGAGAGAGCCCTGACCAGTGAGAACTCCGAGAGGTGGCGAAGGAGCAGGGCGGCACAGGACATCACCTGGCCAGGGCTGCAGATGCCGTCCTTCACCTAGTGCCCCTCACTCGCCCCCTCTACACCACGGGGGTCTGGGGACTTTGGCCTGCTCTCTGGAGGAAGGGCTGTTAGGAGCCATGAGGTCTGGGATAAGGATGGGGGGGGATCTCAAACAAGACTACAGTACAAAGCCCATGTGCCCCACACTGTCACTTTCAGGGTCACACGAGGTTCTTTTCTAGGACAAAATTGTCCTTTAATGTGCGTATTTCCAACTCCACTCCGAGACCAGCCTTAACATAAAGTAAAGCACGTTTTTCCAAGGCTGCTGCAAAAGCAAGAACCTCGCCTGCCAGGGTCAGCGGAGGCCTGGGCTCACTTTACCTGCTGCCTCTGCTCACGGCCGAGTTTGGCTGCTAACTAAAAGGTTGGAAGTTCAAACCTACCGGCTGTTCTGCAGGAGAAAGCTGAGCTAGTCTGCTTGCGCAAAGATTTAGTCTCAGAAACCCCCCTATAGTCACAGAGGACCAGATGGCAGAGTGGACACCACAGCATTTCAGAAGTTGATGTGGGGATGGGGATGGCCAGGCCCTTCCTCTGAGGGGCCGGTCAGCCCTGAGTGTGTGAACCGTTTGCACCACCTGGAGACTCTGGAGAGAAGGTATGGAGGACAGAAGAGGCATTCTTGCGCATGGCGGGGGTGGGAGCAGGAAGGTAGAGACTATAGCAGCCCCTCTGTCAGAGAACCCCAAGAGCCTGTGTGAGGGTCGGAAAGGACTTGGGACTCGGTGACCCGACAGGACAGAGCGGAACTGCCCAGTGGCTCTCCAAGGCTCCAAGGCCTCACAGAAGCGAGCTGTCTCATTGTTCTCTCAGGGAGCAGCTGGAGGAGTCAAACTAACAACTGCGAAAGTAACAGTCAAGCATTTGAACCACTGTACCAAGTGCAATTCGGACGTCTAGCTGAATGTGGCACACTTATGCGCATTTCCTCCAAAGAGCCACCAGGGGGCAGGCGCGCACAGCGGATACGCAGAGGGGCCCAGGGACAGGGAGCCCAAGTGGGGAGGGACGGGGCTCACCCCACACCCCACAACCGCCCGCCTGCCAGGAGGCTCACTTTTTCTCCAGGCTGTCCATGTATTCCTTCTTCTTCCGCCTACTTTCCTGAGCGGAAATCTGAGATAAAGTGGAATAAACAGAAGGATTAGCTCGCAGCTGGGTCAGTAAACCAGATAGATCTTCATAAAAGAGGACTGAGAGCAAGTCCGCCCAGGCACCACGTCCCACATCCACTACCCGCTCAGGGCACAGCCTGGCCACCCGGCACCGACCTACATCACGGCCCAGCCTGCGGCCCCGTGAGTTACGATGAACCACACGCGGTTCTGTGACCAGCACGTGCCATTGCTGCTGTGTGATTTGATGACACTGTTGCTCTCAGATGAGCAAAGGGCAGATTTACAAAGAGAATGACAGAAAACACCGCAAAGAAGGCTTTTTAAAAAGAGGGACATGTTGCAATTCCAGAGGTACGCGGTTCAGATCCACCAGATGGTCTGCTAGAGAAGTAGGGGCAGATCTGATGTGACAGTACACACACACACACACACACACACACACACACACACCACACACACACA